CTATTAGGGCATCTGTAATGAAACCCCTATAAAACACTCCCAAACAGTGGGGTTCATATGCCACCTACTCAATTTACTGTCTCCCGAAAAGTAGCACCCACATTTAACACTCCCTAAAAAAATTTTCTCTAGTGGTACATTTAAAACTCCCTAAAAATTTGTCCAAATATCTTAAATAATAAACAATATTAAGGAAGTAAGTATAATAATGTAATTAAATTTGAATCCTTGTATTTAATTAAATTAATTTTGTATTAGATTACATTAATTAAATATTAGTCACCATTTTTATTACGTTGTAATATGTATTATTTTATTTTGTTTGTATCTATATTTATATCGATAAAATAATACAAAACATTCAACAAACATAAATGAAATAAAATTAACAAAAATACAGAATAGATTGCAGTAAATTGAACAAGCTTGTTGGAACATCCCTCCAACTCTAGACATAAATAGATTAAAGAAAAAGACTTGTAAAAAATTAGTTTTTATTTTTTCTAATACGGCTCAAGATCTCTATTTGTTGTTCAATAATCCAAGTTTTACCTTCCTCTGTAGGTGCCGATTGAGGATCCATCAACATTATTTCTTGCTCGCGTTGTTTTCGTTGATGTTCTTGTTTTGCTGCAATTTTTATTCTCTTTGTTTCTATTCTAGCTTGTAATTTCTGTTGTTCGATTGCATTTCTCCTCTTCAAAGCAACTTGATTGTTCTTTTCTCATATTAGAAAACTCCTCTACAAATAAATCGATGAAATCGAGATTTTTCTTTCTTCTAGCATTTTTTGTAGTTTTGCGACCATGATGACGTGGTAGTCCATGTGCGCCATCATCAGATACCCCATCATCAATTCCATGGCCGGTTGAAGTTGAAGTCGTAGCTGGGGTTGATTGACCAGATGATAGAGGTTGAGTATTTGATGAATCTTCAATTTCATCATCATCCAAATCAATTTCAACCCCTTTTTTTTGGGAAGTCTTTTTCTGCTTTCCCTTCTGGTCAATGGTATAATTATACCATTTGGAAGTCTCTTTCAAAGTCATCCAACAAGAGTCATATTCGAATTGATGCTTTTCTTTGTCATTATATAGTTGTTTTGTTGCAATCATTTATAACAAAAATCATAATATATTAATGGTTGAACGAAAATTATATATAAATATATATAAATTTTATTTACTTACATTATCTTCTGCATTATTTCCACTACGTTGAGCTCGCTCAATCGTACGAACATACCCAGAAAATTTGCTCACACAATGTTGAATGATTTTCCATCGGTGGAGTGGTATATCTCAGTTGTCTACATTATTATTATTATTTTTAAACCAAGTCGTTAAAATTTAGTCCCACTTTAGTCCCTCATGTCCCAATTATCTCATTATCATCCTTCAACTCTACAATATATTCCAATATGGTCCTCCGTTATATAATTTAGTTAACTTTAACGAATATCTTTTATTTATCGGATGAAATATTCTAATCTTACAATTATTTGTAATAAACTATAATAAATTAATAAATACTAGAAATACATATATAATTGAATTAGTTCTTTAAATATTAACATAAGATCATAAAAAAATTAAATAAATTTTTGATGGAGAATATATGTAGATGACATATTATAATTATTTAAATATGTTTCTACATTATATTCACAAAATAGATGATTCGTTTTCTATTAATATAAATTAATACTTTGTAAGCATAGTAGGTTTTTAAGTTATATTTTTGGTGGTTGCAAATATTATATTTAAATTGCAAACTTTATTATTTATTGAAAAAAGTCTTAATTTATCAAAAATAATTGTAGCAATGGAATATTCTATCTGTTTTTAAAAAGATTATGTTAAAGTTAATGAGATGAATTATGAAGATGAATGATGGAAATGAGATAATTGAGACATGAGGGACCATTAATGAGATTTCGCCTAAAAATTAATTTTAATGTTTAGTTTGATATGTTAGTATATATAAAAATATTTATATTTATATTTCTATTTTAATAATATAACCTATAAAAAAATTATGGTAAATGGCAAATAGGCCCATGACAAGGGTACTTAATTAGAAAATGGACATCCAACTTTTTGTCTTCCAAATAAATCCAGCTCATTCAAACTTATTTGCAAATAAGGAAAGCCCTTTTATATATACAAAAATTACCCCCAATTTCTTGAAACCCTAATTCAACTCCAATTTCATGATTTACACCGTAAATTAGCCCAATTTCACCAATTAACCAATTTTTACCCTTATTCGAATTTTGACCAACCACCGCCGGTCTCCGGCGTTAACTTTTTTTTTCCTGAATTTTATTTTTCCTGCAAGTCAACCGCCGGTCTCTGGCGTTGACTTTTTTTTTTTTTTTTTGTGTTTTTGAAAACTTTTTTTTTCTTAAAAAAACTTATTTTAATTAATATTAATGTTTTGGTTGCTGTCCCAACAGTAATTTAACTGTCTAAGACAGTAATTTTACTGTATTAATTAATATTACTGTCCTGGCCTGCAATTTTGCTGTCTTCGACCGTAATATTACTGTCTCCGACTGTAATATTACTGTCTCATGCAATAATATTACTGTTTGGGAAAGACATATTCATAATATTACTATTCGGGGACAGTAATATTACTGTTGGTATTCAACATTACTATTTCAGACAATAATTTTGTTGTTAACGCAGTAATTTAAAGAGAGAAAAGTTAAAAAAAAATATTTAACGCCGGAGACCGGCGGTTGACCGGCCGGAAAAAAATTCAAAAAAAAAAAAGAATCCCGGAATCTGGCCTAAAAAAAGAATTCAGAAAAAATTATTTTCTGAAAAAAAAAATATTTTTTTCAAAAAAATATGAAAATGGGGGTTAATGTGATATAATTGTTCAAATCCACGGTTAATGTGTAATATGGATGAAGTTAGAGTATAATGGATGTAATTGATAAAAAATATATTATAGAGGGTATTTTAGACAAAAGACATGGGGATGTATTTATTTACAAGACTCTTTTTTTTTTTCCTGGATCTATGTACATTTAAGTCCCCTGTCATGAATCTATTTGGCATTCGCCATTAATTTTTATTCCTTGATTTATTTAATCTGAGTTAATAGCACCAAACCCCTTGTGCTATTTCTAATTGCCAAAAACCCCCATGTGTTATAAAAATTAGAAAAGATCCCCTTATGTTCTGTTTAGTAGTGCAAATCGCCCATTATTCGCCATTTGACTGTTGACTTAGCTTAAATGACTGTAATACCCCCAATACATAAAACACAAATATACCCAAAACACCAATTTGTTTTCAATTTACATAAATGAATTTAAATTCATTAATTAAATATCTTCTTCTTCCAACTATCGCTTCCATCGCCCCAAATGTATCTCGCAAGTTCGTGATCGGTAAAACGCCGACTCAATCGTCGGAAAACAAAATGGTGCCCTCGCCGGAGCAATCAAACTCCAACGGTGCCGTTCGAGATTTTCCCATTCAGTATTGTACCCCACCCTGACATTCTGTTCCCAATCAATTATCTTTTGTGAGCCACCATCTTCACCGAGGTCAATCCATTGGGAGCAGAATATCGTAAGAAGAGCAGCAGAATATCCTGAGAAGAAAATAGTGTATCGGGATGTTGTGCTGCAAGGAAAAAAAATGTTTTCTGGGCAACTTTCTGAAAATTTCAGTTGGAATCTTCGTTATGAAATTTCAGGAAAAAGCTTAAAGCTCAGCTTTCAAATTTCCTGGCCTTCTCTTGATTTGGTTTGATGTAGAAAAGAGCTTCAAGCTTAGAATGTTGGTTGGTTTTTTGCTAGAAAAAAACATGAAGGAATGGAGTGATCTGTCTAAGAATAAATTCCGTCGGGAAAAAAATATGTCGGAAAAGCGTGCGGAAAAACGTATCGTTTGGTCAATTTCCGGCTAAGGGGCGCCATCTCGGTAGGATTTCCCTATACAGAATTGATTAGCATAAAAGTCATATTGCTATCATCACACTAGCGATCATATAAATATATCTAAATTAATAAAGCATAAGTCCGAGATAACATCAATCTTCACAAAAATCACAAATAATTAAGAATTTATAGGGGATTTATATTTACCATAATCTTCCCTTAATTTATTGCTCAACGTCTCAACTCGACTCGGAGTTCCCATAGACGACGCCACTTGATGGTGCTCGAAATTCGCACCCTTAAGACCTCCTCCAAAACCCAACTCTTGGTGTTGCCGAAAAGTCCACCGCTCGTCGGATCGAAGTACGCAACACCAAAAAGCGGCAGAGACATAAAAATAGAGAGAGAGAGAGTTTGTAGAGCGAAAATATTATTGATTGTGTGTAAAAGCATGACCCTAATTAGGGTTTATACATGTATTTATATAGGAAATTTACTAGGTCAAAATTATCTCTGGCCCACTTTCAAAATGGTTCGGCCCAAGTTTGCCAAAATGGGTCCCCATCAGGGGCGCGCCATCGGGGTAGGATTTTGTGTGGGTTGTGCGTGAAAATGGTGGAGAGTTTAAACGGAAATGAGTTAATTTGGGGAGAGGGCGTTTTGAAATCACCAAGGACTGAATTGAAAATTCTGAAACTTTCATTTTGGGGCAATGAAAATTTTGGGGTTAATCTGTGATTTCATTTTTTTCGATTTTAAGGGTATTTAGGTCTTTTCAGGCCAGAACACGCACCTCCAGCCGCACAATCCGCGCGTGAAGAACACGATAACCCGTTAGGGACCTTATTGGCTTTGACTAACTTTCATAGGGGGGTCCGTGCTAATTTTTTTAACACAAGGGGTTTTTCAGCAATTAGAATTTACACATGGGTGGTTCTTGCAAAAACCCTTATTTAATCTAAAGAATACGCCTTGACAAACTTATCAAAAGAATACGCCTTGACAAACTTATGCCAATAACAAAATTAAATTTCATATGTGTATATAATTTTAAATGGTAAATATCATTGAAAAGTTTTTCAAATAAACGACATAAAAATATTGGTAACAAATTCTTTTCAAACTTCTAATGAGAATTTATATTTTATTTATCTTCACAGTAAATACTATTTAGAAGACAAGTTTGATTAAAAAAAAAAAAAACAGTACAAGATGCGGAAAGTCACATTTTTCTTCGGCAAGCGTGCTCTGATATTCTGCCGACAGAATATTGAACTTTTCCGAAGGAAAATTGCTCTAAATCCCTTGTGTACTCGATGTGGGCCTGATTATGAGAGCCGGAATCAGGAGACATAAACTACTCAGCATACAAGACGAGATGTATCGGTATCGAAAGCATTTGTACTATTCTAAATCAAAATGATCTATACGACAAAATTTATACGACAATTCATTTGTGAAACTTAGAGTTGTTCCAAGGCAACTAAAACCTCAGCCATCCTTGGTCTTTGTTCTGGCATTTGGCTTAGACACTGCAGAGCAATTGTTGCAACAGTATATGCTTCCTTATGAGGGAATTGACCCTCTATTTTCGGGTCCATAATCCGAGACAGATTTTTCTTGCGACGCAAATATGGTGTTGCCCAATCTACTAGATTGTACTCATTAATAGGCCTGTTTTTGTCAATACTTTTCCGTCCGGTTAGTAATTCAACCAAAACGACCCCAAAGCCATACACATCGCATTTTGTTGTTAACCGACCTGTTTTTTTCGAATCAAAGGGCTTTCATTATGACTTATGACATAATTAACAGCATCAAGAATTTAGATATAATTTAACCTGTTGCAATATATTCTGGTGCAGCGTAACCAAATGTACCCATAACTTGAGTCGATACATGAGTCATACTGCCCGTCGGACCGTCCATAGCCAAACCAAAATTGTTCAATTGGACATTAAATTCCTGCAACCAAGATAATAATTCACGATAAATGATTTCAAATCACTAATCATTAACACACACACGCGCGCGCGCACACACACAGGGGCGGACCCAGAGCCTACTGGTAGGGGGGGCTAAAAAATTTTTTTGGGGGGCTATAGCATAAAATTAGTAGAGAAATAATAATATAAAATAAAAAAGCATTAAAAAAATGATCAAAATTTTTTTCCTGCAGGGGCGGGAGCCCCCCAAGTTACAAGGTGGTTCCGCCCCTGCACACACACACACATACCCCATCCAAAAGAATGTCAGCTGTATTAAAATTTCGGTGTACGATTGGGTTTTCATTGTCATGCAAGAAAGCTAGTGCTCGAGCAGCACCCACAGCCACTTTGATTCTTGCCACCCAAGCCAATGTTTGATCATGTGATCCTATGTCACGGGGGCAAATAATCAATGTTTATAAACATCATCATATAAGTAAGTCGATCATCAAAAAACAATTAGTATATTGCAAAAAATATTACCTCGGAATAAATGACGGTCCAAGCTTCCTTTGGGAATGAATTCATATACCATAATCATGCCACCTTCATAGCAATATCCGATGAGTTTAACTATGTTTGGATGACGAAATCGATCCAAATACTTAATCTCCTTCTGCAAATAGTTAACTATGACTTGGCACACAAGCAAATTATTATTATTATTATTATGGAAATTAATTAAAGGAAAAACGTACTAAACACTCTTTTACGCCTTGAAGTCCTTCTGTACTACACATCTTGACGGCAACAGGTGTTCCCAATCCAGGTTCGGAAGCAGTAAGAGTGTTCTCATCAATCCATCCTTTCGAAAAATGACCAAACGCTCCTTCCCCTAAAACCGAGTATGGTCGAAAGTTTCTCGTCGCCCTTTTCAATTCTTCAAATTCAATGTACTCTGCTTGGACGGAATTAGCTCCACGGCTGATGCTATTGCTGGAAATTCTAGACGCTTAAGAAACATTGGAAATTAATTTTACATAGAGGCATGTGCAAACTTAAGACACATTGGAAATTGACGTGCGTCGAGTTTTATACGGAACACAAACTTAAACTGCTCAGCATAGTCGTACCATTTTGTCCATGTTAAATAGTTTATTCAATTATTTGGACTCGATTAAAGCTCGTTCGACCTCCATCTGATTGCTAATCAAATTATACGTTCATGTTCTGACAAATGAGTTATAACTTCTAGGGTAAATTCCACTTCCCCCTTCTACTTTGGCTCGGTATCACTTTACCCCCTTCTACTCTTGATTGCATCAATTTGCCCCCTTGTACTTGAAAAAGTGTCTCAATGTGGCCCTCGCCGTTAGTTTTCGGACCTTTGACCTTAGCACCGTTTGATCTAAGTTTGAAAATTACAAAAAAACCACCCCTCTCAATTTAAATAATTATTAAAAAAATTTAAAATAAATTGTGGCTGGCGTCGTGGGCTATGTTTTCTCGTTGTCTTGAATTTTTTATTATTTTAATTTTTGGTTTTTTTTTTATTGTTTTTTTAGTAATTATTTAAGCTGAGAGAGGTGCCATTTTTCGTAATTTCAGAGCTTCGATCAAACGGTTTGAAGGTCAAATGTCTGACAACTAGCAGCGAGGGCCACATTGAGACATTTTTTCAAATACCGGGGGGGAATCGATGCAATTGAGAGTATAAGGAGGTAAAGTGATACCGAACCAAAGTACAAGGGGACAAAGTGGAATTACCCTAACTTCTAAGCACAAAAATATGATCAATTTATGTCGCATAGCTTGAAATACTATTCAGTATTCATACATTCTCTTGAAGGAAAACTAAAATGAGGAACACTTAATTCCTTTTGAAATGAACACAAAAAATAAGAGAGTAAAAGGTAAAACCAAGAAATTGTCAGCCTAGTGCAAATTTGCAGCATCTGTAAAAAAGTTAAAAAAAAACTAAAAAAAGAAAAGAAAAAAAAAAAAGATCACTGGAATAGACGAGATTTTCAAAGAATAACAAGATTTGCAGTCAACCAAACACAGAAAACACACAATTGGTACATAATTATTTTGAGAACTAAAATCGAAATTAATAAATTAAAGAGTAGTATATATATTATTGAAATACCTGCAATAAAGGTTTCATCATCAAAACTGAAACTTGAACTGAAATCAGCTGAAATAGAGGTGTCGAAGCTTTCACATAGCGCAAGGTGCCTAAGATGTTCTCTGTTTAGGATAGCTGCAACCAACCTCTCCCAGCTATCATACACCTTCGACATATTTCAGCACTACTACTCCCTACTTTTCTATAATTGGGAATATATAATGAAAAAAATCATTTTTTGTCTTGACTTCAACTACTCATCTAGTCAAAGTCTACCGCTATAATTGGAACTTGCCAAGAAATTTCAATTCCCTCGAACTTCTAGTGATATATGTCAATTTGGCTTATTTTAGGGGACGAATGATATTTTGAGTATTTGGTGAGATTAATTATCCTTCGTTGTTCTACAGCAACCTTTGGGATTTTATAAGTGGATTCTTGCAACTGAAATGATTTACGCGGCAGTAAAATTACGAATGTCGTTCACAATAGTTTTCTCTTCCTCTCTCTAAAAACCCCAAATCCATCCAAGCCCCAAAAGCCCCAAAATTCACAAAAACCCTCAACCTCTCTCACAAATTCTTCCAAATCCGAAAATCTCATCAATTTGAAAGGTAATTAATCATCTAATGTAGTTATACATATTGAATTTGTGGTTAATTATGTGAAAATCCCCAGAAAATCGCGATTTGGGGCTGTTTTTAGTGTTGGGTTTTCGAATTTTCCACGCCCAAAATGGGAGTGTGAAAGCAGTTTCCCACGCCCATTTTGGGCGCGGAAAATTGGTTTGGGTGTTCGGTCCGGACGCTGGTTCTGGACCGGTCGCCGGTTCAATTTTTTTATTTTATCCCAGTATAAATGACATGGTATATTATATTTAAATAATTATTAGTTAATGAACTTGCTATGGCCTAGTTGGTCAGGCGTTTGTCTATTACGCAATAGACTCGTGTTTGATTCTTTCCAGCAGCGTGTATTTATTATTTTTTTTGCCAAGTATAACGAAATCTATAAATACAATTCAATAATAATTTATTATCAAAATGGCTGTAGCTTTGTTGATCAGGTAAGCTTATATTTCCAAAGTAATATTCCGCGTTCGAATCCTTGTGGCAGCTCAAATATATAATTTTTTTTTATTAAATCTCAGTCATAGAGCGCGGCCAAACCGGGCGCGGATAACACTTTTACGCGTCCAAACCGGGCGTGAATCGGGCTTTTTTAGCTCCCAGTTTGGTCGTGGGTCGCGTTTTTCCGATTTAAAGAACAAAAACGAACAAATTTTACCTCATTGGATTTCGTATCTCGATCCTCATTCGATGCAGTCATTTGTTTTTGCAAATGGCTACAATAACATGAGTTTTGGAATGATTTCTAATATAAAAGCTAAAATTGTAGAGAGAGAAAGAAAGATAGAGAGTGTATTTTTTAAAACGACATTCGTAATTTTGCTACCACAAATAGCACCTCCCTTCTTGTAATTTTCTTACCCCTATAATATTGGTTTCTGGTACTTTATAACCACGGAGTCAATATTATATTTCACCTTGATAATAATGGTTTCTAGCTCTTTATAGCTATGGGGTCATTGTTCCTTGCTTCCGCCAAACTTGAATCTTTGTTTTTTGGTGTTTTCGATCTTGCTTCCGCGTAAGGTATTTGGGTCTCGTAACAAGTTATACGGGGTTCGTATCACCTCTCCTTGTGCTCGTGAGCCGATTTAGCTAAACCATATTCCCTTTGCGATAGATATGTAGGATTGTCCATTGATTCTTAAGAAAGAGGGAGATTACTGTGATGAGATACTGAATCTCCGATGTCGTCGCAACATTTCCTTGTATCACATCCACTACTAGTTTAGAGTCGGAATCCAGTAAGACCTGGTGTAAGCCCATATCGCGACATGTAGATAGACCATCTAACACCGCCTTGGCTTCCGCCAACAAAAGAGAACCCTTGCCGCAGTAGTACGAGAAACCACAAACCAATTGACCTTCATGTGTGCGAATTATTCCACCGCCTGAACATAAATCTCCCTTAAAAAAACCTGCTAACTTTACGATATATTAATTTATATCAATATAAAATGAATCATCTATTTTGTAGATATAATTTAGAAAGATATATAAATAATTATAATATGTCATCGACATATATTCTCTATCAAAAATTTATTTATATTTCTTTTGATCTTATGTTAATATTTAAAGAACTAATTCAATTATATATGCATTTCTAGTATTTATTAATTTATTTATAGTTAATTACGAATAATTTTAAGAATAGAATATTTCATCCAATAAACAAAAGATTCCGTTAAAGTTAACTAAATTATACAACGAAGGACTATATTGAAATATATTGTACAGTTGAATGATGATAATAAGACAATTGAGACATGAAGGACTAAAGTAGGACTAAATACTAAGATGAGGGACTATTAGTGAGATTTGACCTGATTTTATGCACAAATTTAAGATAAAGAAGCTAACATTCTATTTTTATTGTGGTTTTTTTTTTCATACAAGTTAATCTTAAGTGAAAAAGTATATCTTTCTAGAAAGGGGAAATGACAAATAGGCCCATGACAAGGACATTTAATTAAAAGTTACTTCAAGCGCTGACTCAATGGCAAAGACTACATCCAACTTTTTTGTCTCTCAAATAAATCCAACCCATTCAAACTTATTTGCAAATAAGGAAAATCTCTTTATATAGACCAAAATTACCCCCAATTCATTGCAACCCAATTTAACTTCAATTTCATGATTTCCACCCAATTTAGCCCAATTTCATCACTTAAACAATTTTAACTCTAATTTCAATTTTGACCCCAATTTTGATCCGCCACCACCGGAGACCACCGGTCGCCGCCGGTGACCGGCGTTGACTTTTTTTTTTTTTTTTTTGAAAAACTTTTTTTCCCCATAATTTTTTTTTTCCGGCCAGTCAACTGCCGTTGACCGCGGTCTCCCGCATTGACTTTTTTTTTTTTTTTAATATTGTTTTTTCTTAAAAAAATATTTTAATTAATATTACTTTCATGGCTGCTAAATTACTGTCTTCGGCAGTTATTTAACTGTCGGAGACAGTAATTTAACTGTAAATTAATTTTTTTTTTCTTCAAAAACATTTTAATTAATATTATTGTCTTTGCTACTAAATTACTGTCTCCAGCAGTTATTTAACTGTCGGAGATAGTAATTTAACTGTTAATTGATTTTTTTAAAAATATTTTAATTATTATTACTGAATTCGTCGCTAAATTACTGTCTCCAACAGTTATTTAACTGTCGGAGACAGTAATTTAACTATTAATTGACTTTTTTTATTCTTCAAAAAAATATTTTTAATTAATATTAATGTATTCGTTGCTAAATTACTGTCTCCAGCAGTTATTTAACTGTCGGAGACAGTAATTTAACTGTTAATTGACTCTTTTTTTTTTCCTTAAAAAAATTATTTTAATTAATATTACTGTCTTGGCTGCTAAATTACTGTCTCCAACAGTAATTTAACTGTCTTAGACAATAATATTAATAATATTACTATTCGGGAAAATAATATTCATAATATTACTGTCCCAAACAGTAATATTACTGTCTGAGACAGTAATTAGTAGTCAAGATAGTAATATTAATTAGAATATTTTTTTTCTAAGAAAAAAAATTCAACGCCGGAGACCGGCTGTCAACGGTGGTTGACCTGCCGGAAAAAAATTTGAGGAAAAAAAATGTTTTACAAAAAAAAAAAAAAGGTCAACGCCGGAATCTGTTCGGAAAAAAAAACATTTCAGAAAAAAATTAATTTCTGAAAAACAAAAGTTTTGGGGGTTAATGTGATATATTTGTTTAAATCCGGGGTCAATGTGTAATATTAAGGAAGTTAGAGCATAATGGGTGGAATTGATAACAATTATATTATTGAGGGTATTTTAGACTAAAGACATGGAGATGGGTTTAATTGAAAGACTATTTTTTTGGTGGACCAAAATACATTTAAGTCCCATGTGATGGACTTTTTGCCATTCGCCCTTCTAGAAAATATAAGTTACGTACATGATGAGGGTATTTATGTCTTTCTATTGAAATGAAATTTTACTAGAAGCTCGAGGGAATTGAAATTTCTTGGCAAGTTCCAATTATAGAATGGTTGACTTTGACTACATGAGTGGTAGAATTCAGACTTAATCCCACTTTGCATTCTTAAAATATATAATTTTGGCACTTTGCACACTCGAAACAATTTAATAACACTTTGCACCTTAAAAACACAATAAGTCATGCATAATGCACCCCAAATGATTTTTAAAGCTAATAAATGCAATTTAATATTTTAATGGTATTTTTTTAGGATGACAAATGTCAAACCCTTTTTTTTACTAAACAATTATTTTTTGAAATTATAAATTGCAACAATAAAAATACATCTCATCAAAATTTTAAAAATTATATTTTTTATCACAAAAAAATATTTTACGAAAAAAATCATTAAGCCGTTTTGTTATCAAGTTATCAGAATATCATATTTATTTCAAATATTTTTACCTAATATTTCCACCAGTTGCAATAAAAGATCCACTGATCGAATAATACAGTGATAGAAGTTTATTTAATTTTAATTTGTAAGAATGAAAATATAATTGTTTTTAATAATTCGGTGTGATTTTTATTTTTTCGCACTTTATGCGCTCGGAGTTAGGTTCGAGGTTGAAGAAAATAACACTTTTATTTGTTATTTTGTATTCCGGGAAAAAAACCAATAAAAAATGAAATTGCCTTTTATTATTCAATTCAGGGTGCATTGTGAATTTTATTGTGTTTTGAAGGTGCAAAGTGCTATTATTGTTTTTTGAGGGTGCAAAGTGCCAAAAGGCTCAATTTCAAGGGTGCAAAGTGTGATTAAGCCTAGAATTCAAGAATTTTTTTAATTTTTTTCATTATATAATATAACTACCAGTTTTAGACAAGGGAATAGTGTTGAAATATGTCTAGGGTGTATGATAGCTGGGAGAGGTTGGTTTCAGCTATTCTCAACAAAGAACAACTTAGATACCTTGCACTATGTGAAAGCTTCAACTCCTCAATTCAGCTGATTTCAGTTCAAGTTTCAGTTTTTGTGAAGATGAAACATTTTTAGGTATGTCAATAATATATACACTAATCTTTAATTTAT